AAAGGTGATAAGTGGAAGGGCATATGGTACTGGGGAATAAGGCCGGAGAGGAATGAAATAAATGAAAGAATTGGGTCTTAAAACTTGCTTGGTGTCTGTGTCTGATGTGTTCAGACACCAGGAACAGACCTTGCAGTAACTCTGCTTTCTGGTGTATGTGTGGGACGGCATATTTTACACAGAGTGACAGTATATTTCCACCAGCCCTTTGGCTGATGGCAGTCACCCTTACTTGTAAGCTTAAACAAAGATACAGAATACTTCATAGACTTTACAGTTCAGAGGTTTCCCCAGCACAGATATGTTTTCCTAGTATTATACAATGCATGAGTACTTTTCACCCACGATCTTCCAGTATTTAAAGTGGCTAGCAGCTCTGTGCTCAGCCACCAGAAGAAAGGTTTTCTGCTCTTCTAAAATAGGCAAGTCAATGGATCTGCCTACTAGTCAGGTTAGTTATGTAGTTCACAGGAGAACTGCCCCGTTTTGTAGTTATAAGCCTATAAAGGCTGCAATAGCCGTGCAGTACCTTTCTCATGTTTCCGTAACTATTCATTGTATTTAATATTTTGAATCTGAAGAATGAGCTAGTATCCGTTTTATATTTGAATGTTCACAGTGTCCAAATCATGGTCCACAGAAATTTTATGGCTGTATTCTTGTTTATATAGACCAGACCAAAAATCATTGTGATCTACAAGAATTAGTGTAGATGGCTTGACCATCCTACTTTATCGACTAAGACTGGGAAGAGAAAGTACTTAATTGTTAGTAATGGTGTTGTAAAATGTTTGCTTCACTTTTTTTTTTTTCTTTAACACCTCCAATTTGATAACAGCAGTAAAGGCTGCTAAGAGCAGGCCTTTATCAGTGAGATAAAGAATCTCCAACAGTCAGATAAAGAATCGCCAATGCTTAGGTCTTTTGCATGTAGCTTTTAACTACTTCAGCTCAACTCTTATCTGGCTGATAAAGTTAATGGTAGTGTTTCTTATAGCTTATTAATTTTAATCCTTGCTGCTAAGTTCAAAGGTTGTCCATGAGCAGTATTCCACTGTTAATTTGGACCCACAAACGCCCGGAGATCACCTCTCTCTTGCTTTGGACAGGTCTGGGAGTTTTCAGAAGTAATAGTCCTCAGGGAAATGAAAACAGACATGAAAAAGGCTTTTGCTCTTCCCTGAGCATCTGGGGAGTGAGGGGACAAGGCTGGATTTCCAGGCCTTGGATATCTTTGCTGAATAGCAATGCAGTGATTTGTCAGAAAACACTTGGAAACACTTCCAAACATCACAAAATGCTGCTAATCTGATGCTCTATGGAGGCGTGTATTGTCTGTTGTAAACAAGCTGCTCTGTCCTTGTTCTGTGTTCGCTTTTGCAAAGAAGTGGGTGATATTAGAAACTTTCATCTTCATTGTATTATCCACTGCTTAGTATTCAAAATGGTCATCAGAGTACATGGTTATGGGGGGCTGTTAAGATGAACTTAGTGGCATGACATGGAATCCAGCAAATGGATTCATCCAACATCCAACTATAGTTATTGGGTGGATTTAGGATCTCTTTTAATGGCCTGTTCGGAATTACTTGTATTTCAGTTTGCGCCCATTGCCTCCTGTCCTGTCACTGGGCACCAATGAGAAGAATCTAGCTCCCTCCTCTTTACTCCCTCCTATCGGGTATTTATACCCATTGATAAAATCCCCTCTCAGCCTTCTCCAGGCTGAACAGTCCCAGCTTTCTGAGCTTCTCAGCTGCTCCAGTCCCTTAATTATCTTTGTAGCCTTTCCTTGGACTTATTCCAGAATGACGATGTCTGTCTTGTGCTACCGAGCCCAGAACTAGACCCAGTATTCCAGATGTGGCCTCACCAATGCTGAGCAGAGAGGAATGATCAGCTTCTTCAGTCTGCTTGCAACACTCTACCTAATGCAGCCCAAGATGCTGTTGGCCTGTTTTGCCACAGGGTCACGTTGCTGGCTTATATTCAAATTGTTGTCCACCGGGACTCTCAGGTCCTTCTCTGCAGAGCTGCTTTCCAGCCAGTCCGGGCCTCAGCCTGTACTGGTGCATGGGATATTTCCTCCTCAGGTGCCAGACTTCGTATTTCCCTGTGTTGAACTCTATGAGATTCCTCTCCGCCCAACTCTCCAGCCTGTTCCAGGTGCCTCTGAATGGCAGCACAGTCATCTGAGAAATCAACCACTCCTTTCAGTTTTGTATCCTCAGCAAACTTGCTGAAGGTGCACTGTGTCCCATCATCCAGGTCATTAATGAAGATGTTAAACAGCATCGGCCCCAGTATCAATCCCAGGTCGCACTACTGGTGACTGGCCTCTAGCTGGATTTTGAGCTGCTGATCACAACCCTTTGAGCCTGGCAGTTCAGCCTGTTTTCAGTCCACCTCGCTGTCCACTTACCTAGCCTGTACTTCATCAGCTTGTCTATGAGGTGTTATGGGAGGTAGTGTCAAAAGCCTTACTAAACTCGAGATAAAGAGTATCCACGGCTCTTCCATTGCCCACCAAGCCACTCATCTCATCGTGGGAGGCTATCAAGTTGGTGAGGTGTGATTTTCCCCTTCATAAATCCATGCTGACTACTCCCGGTCACCTTCTTGCCCTTAATATGTTTGAAAATGGTTTCCAGGACTGTTTGCTGCTTTTACTTGACTTTCTGCTCATTGGGATGGACCATTTTTGAGCTTGGAGTAGTTGATCCTTGAAAATCAACCTGTTCTCGTGAACTCCTCTCCAGGACCGTATCCCATGGGCTTCTTCTAAGGAGGTCCTGAAACAGGCCAAAGTCTGCTCTCCTAAAGTCTGGGACTATTATCCTGCTATTTGAGTTGTTCTGTCCTCTCAGTAGCCTGAACTCCACCATCTCATGGTTACTGCACCCAAAGCTGCCCCTGACCTTCATATCCCTGACCAAGTCTTCCTATTTTCTTGACATCCAGCAAAACACCTCCCCTCATTGGCTTCTCCACCACCTGTGTCAGAAAGCTATCATTAGTGCATTCCAGAGACTTTTTAGAATGCTGATGCTATGCTATGTTGCCCCTCCAGCAGATTTCAGGGTGCCTGCAGTCCCCCAGGAGGACCAAGGCCTCTGAACGTGAGGCTTCTTACCATGATCTGAAGACCTCATATACTACTTTTTGATCAAGTAGTCTGTAAGACACCTACCACAATGTTGCCCACATTGATCTGCTCTCTAATCCTAACCCATAAGCTCTCAGTTGGCCTCTCACCCCTTCCCAGGCAGAGCTCCCTGTATTCTCATTGCTCTCAACTAAAGGGCCTCCTTGCTTTCCTGGTGTGTTCTTCCGAAAGAGCCTGTATCCATCCATTGCAGCACTCCAGTCGTGTGAGCTATCCTGCCACGTCTTTGTGATCCCACTGAGATTGTAGCCTGGCAACTGCATGCAGACCTCTAGTTCTTCCTCTTTGTTCCCCTTGCTGTGTGCATTAATGTACAAGCACTTCAGAGAGGCACCCAGTTGTGCAGGTTTCTCAGAAAAGCTATGAGTGCTTTCCCTGTAATACTGTCCTTTATGCACTCATTTTTGTGCATTCGCTTGAGGAGGCCCTGTATTTTTTAGCGTGAGGTTTCTCCTGTTCACGTCACCGTGCAGCATTTCCTTGACACCCCAGTCCACCACTTCCTCATTTGATTGTTGCTCACCACGTGCCTTCCTCATCATTCCTGTTTTAAAGCCCTCCTCGTCATGTTGGCTGGCCTGTTGGAAAAGATGCTTTTGCCCCAACTGGGCAAGTGTATCCCATCTCTTCCAAGCAGTCCTCGTTCCTCAGAGAGAATCCCATGATCATAAAAGCCAAATCCCTATCGTTAATGCCAGCCGCACAACCAGTTGTTGACCCGCAGGATCCATCAACTCCTCTTCAAGCCCTTCACTTCCCTGGCAGGGTCAAGGAGAAAACTACGTGGGCTCCCATTCGATCCTTTGCTCTGACCTTCTCTGTCTTGCAGCACTCAAGAGCTTGGCTTGGTAGAAGGATATTGGGGCAAAACCTGATCCAGTAGGAGTGTGTCTTGATTTGAAGCCATCAATAGCTACTCCTCTTCTTAGCAAACTGTTTCACTGGATACTCTCTCTCTCTATTTCTATATGAGCAAGAATTTTTTTCATTCACTTAGCTTCGGCTCTTCCACTGATACAGGTTATATCTTTCTCCATTAGATTAAAAAAATAGCACTTTCAGTAAAGTCTGTCACTTTCTTTCTGTGAAGCTACATGTATGCTATGATCTATATATGATATAGGGATATCGTCAGAGTATGCAGGGATGCAACAAGGAAGGCTAAGGCCCAGTTGGAATGAAATCTGGCAGGGGATGTCAAGGACACCAAGAAGGGCTTCTTCAAATACATCATTAACAAAAGAAAGACTAGGGAAAATGTGGGCCCACTGCTGAACGGAGGAGGTGCCGTGGTGACAAAGAATACAGAGAAGGCAGAGTTACTGAATGCCTTCTTTGCTTCAGTCTTCACTGCTAAGGCCAGCGCTCAGGAATTCCTGACCCTGGAGACCAGGGAGAAAGTCTGGAGAAAGGAAGACTCTCCCTTGCTGGAGGAGGATTGGGTTAGAGATCATTTGTCCAAACCTGACATCCATAAATCCATGGGTAAATCCAAGGGCCCTGATGGGATGCACCCACAAGTGCTGAGGGATCTGGCGGATGTTACTGCTAGGCCACTCTCCATCACCTTTGAAACGTCATGGGGATCAGGAGAGGTGCCCGAGGACTGGAAGAAAGCCAGTGTCGCTGCAGTCTTCAAAAAGGACAAGGAAGAGGAGCCGGAAAACTACAGGCCTCTCAGCCTCCCCTCCATCCCTGGAAAGGTGATGGAACAGCTTCTCCTGGAGGCCCTCTCTAAGCATGCGGAGGACAAGAAGGTGATCAGGAGTAGTCAAAGCATGGATTCACCAAAGGGATATCAGATTGGTCAAGCATGATTGCCTTCTATGACGGGATGACTGGCTGGGTAGGTGAGGGCAGAGCAGTGGATGTTGTCTACCTGGACTTCAGCAAGGCTTTGGACACTGTCTCCCATCACATCCTCGTAGGTAAACTCAGGAAGTGTGGGTTAGATTCTAATGTGGACTGGATCAAAAACTGCAGGTAGGAAAAAGCAGCGTAATATATAATAACGCTGAGAGATACTATTCGCTAAACAATAGCATTACAAAGTGCCATTCAGGCTTCTCAGTGAACTGAAACCATGGAAAGATGCAAGAGCAGCTTAAAATGTATTTCGGGAGCACAAAGGTAATGTAACTAGCTCTGATAGCACCCTTGACATGGTACTGTTCTTACAAATATGTTTTAGGTATCTTATTTCATTGGATAAAAATGCGACCAGCAACTCAATCAAATGGAAGAAAAAATTAGGTGTAAGGAGAAAATAACCTCCTGAATGCTATAGGAGAAAGTTGAAGCTTAGGACCTTCTGTAGTTAAAGTAAAGTTGCTAGAAAATCTTGAGCACGTTCACACACAGAATATCAGTTCTAACGATCTATGGGTCTGTAGACTTACGTCTGTGCAAGGTTCCTGTAGAAACGTTTTGGCAAATTGCTGTTCTGGTTCCTCAAATTAAGAACACTGGAGGGAAGCAGTAGGTAGGAAGAGTTGCAGTCTCCTCCCTGGAGAGGATTCTTAGGACATGCTTCCTAGGTTCTGTACAGCTGCTCTTGATCAAGGTTACCAACAACTACGAAGCCCCTGGAAAAAACCTTGGTGCTCTGAAGAGATTTGCAGCTTAGTGTTATAATATACATCACGGCCTATGGCAATCACCGCTGTCCTTTCACAGCTTCTGGGCTACTAAGATTAAACTGGGATCTGTTCTTTACTTTTAAAGCCAATTTGGGAAAGTTTGCTTTTATCACTTTATACCTTATCACTTTATGCTCACAGTCTGTCATCAGAGGTAGTACTAGCCAGCATCTCTGCTTAATAATATAGCAGTCCAGTCATTTTACTCGTAATTCAGAGTTAACGTTTCTTGCCCCATATTTCTAGAAGCAGCCAATGCAGAGTAAGGAATTAAGAATATCTCCTGAAGATGCTCAGATGAACCAGATGTTTGCATACATTCTAGTTTGTTACTTGTCTAGTACTGTTTGTTACTTTGTTGTGCATCTCGTGATGCCAATTTTAGTGGGTTCAGGACTGAGAATAGCAGTAAGTGGCACAAGCACTGGAAGAATAAATCTTAAGAAGTAGTGAAGTTTGCCCCCTTGAGACACTTGCCATCTGGTGAAAGAGCCTTCTGAAGCAGAGGGAGAGGAAAGCAAGTGGACACATGTAGGAAGCAACTGGCTCTCTGGAAAAAAAGAAGTGTTTTTTTCAGTGTTAAAATAAGAGTTCTCTCTTCTGGGGATGGATGTGACAGTTTGTAAGTAAGCAGGAAGTAACTCAGCGATGAAGTAATCTCCCTTAGATACTGAAATTTGTTTTAAAAACTGAGGAGGGAAAAAGCAGATAATCATTAATGTAACCTTCCCATGTTGTGTTTCTGTAATTACTTACAGAGTGACTAATAAAAAAGCTTTCTTCACCTAAGAGAAGCATAAAAATAATGGCTTCTATATAATAAAGATCACGAGTGTGATTTATTTACTTACTGCTGTTACACAGGCTGTCTAATCAGTGTTTTTAAATTGCATTCAAAGTACTGGTATCCAGCTTGTCAAAATATGCTGTTTAAAAGGAAATGCCAAACCAGAGGTTCAAAAAAGTAGCGTTCAGTGATCGAACTTTTTGCATGCAACAGGATTTACAACATGCTCAGGAACATGAAGCATGTCTTGAGCAAACCCAGAGGTATCGTGTGGAGAGACCAATATATAACCAAGAGCTCTTGCAAGGACAGCTGCGCAGACGGGAAAGAACACCTCAGACTTTTAGGCAGAGGATTGCACATTCTTGTCGGTAGGGTTTTGTGTCCTAATCTTTATTTTGTCTGTTAAAACCATAATAATTCTTAACTGATTGATGCACATAGCTGATAATTCCTTCAAAGAAACCTAAAAGATAAAAACAGTAGTTTTACGTTGTTTATTCAGCAAGACTGTGATAAAGTCGTATGTGTTTTTAGGTGCTAATACATAAATATATTACACAATGTTGGATGACTTAGTTGAATTGCCTTTGTCAAAGTGAAAAGGAAAAATAAGCAGCATAGGAAACTGAAGTATTAGTCGAGTCACCTGACGCATGAATTCATAAGCCTTAGATACAAGAGCCAGAAAAATATCTGGCCTTTTTATGTGGAAATACATAGGTCAAAATTTGTGCTTCACGTGATCCTTTCACAGAGGAAGAATGGAAAGAAGAAACTGCTGTGTAGAAATCTAAATTATTAGCCTGATAAGGACTTAGTAGAAATGCTCTATTGCTTTTAACTAGCTGCCTTGAAATCTAAATATCTTTTGGTTAGACAGGAAATAATGTTTTAAATTGTGCAGCTCTCTTGCTCCATCGATACCGGAGAAGAATGAAGAGGAGCTTCTGCTAGTTAAGTCTTCATTAACTTTGCATTTATCAATGCTTCATTTGCAGAGTTTACTCAGTTTTCTGTGTCTGCATTTGCAGAGTTTACTTAGCGTTTTCTGTGCTTGAACCTTGCCCTGCAATGCGACAAATAATTTCTGCCTGACGGCTTGCCTGTTAAATATTCCAGTTCACATGATTTGACATTTAGAGATTTGCTTTGGTTAATGAAGTGGCTATTCTAATGCTAGTGGCACCTAACTTCACCTCAAGAAAACGTATCTATCCCAAATAAATCAGAATGCCCCTGATCTATGGTTTCTTGCAGTCCGGTTTGCTTATACAAGGAGGAGAAGTATGGATGACTCTTAATTCTTCTGTCACATGTAGCAATAGATTTCTTCACTATACCATTTGGTGCAATAAGAACTTGGAAACATGTTAACAAATCTCTGCAGTTCTCTTGCAGTTCCCCTACACAGTGAAGGATTAACATGCTTCTACTGCTATATTTTGACACAAGCTTAAATTTTCTTAACACAGTACAATTAAAGTGTGATACATCGGAGTGCTGGATAGAGATAAACTTCATGTCCTGGCTCTAATCATTTGACTCAGGGTTTCAAAAGGTTAATAACTGTAGTACAAGACCCAAGGATCAATGTTACTGACTTCAGTACTTTTTTTTTTCAGAGTAAAGAAGGGGTATGTTCTTGAACAGCCTTAAAATAAGCCTGTCAGTATCAGTGATAATAAAAGGCATTAGTAAAAGAATAGTAAAAAAAATTGTAGCAGTATAAAACACTGTAATAGATAATAGTCAGAAGCGTATGAATAGTGAAAATAAATAGTGAAAAGCATTGTGAAGTACTTGGAGGTCTGTGAGTGAAACCACCGTGAAAAAGCAAGTTATCCTCAAGGGATTGTTGCTATAGAAATGATCTCAGCAAAAAGTATTGTGCATGGACGTGAATTGTTTCACTTCCACCTGAAATCCAATCACATGACTGTGATTTTCCAGCTCCATAAGATTTGTGAGCAGCAGCCAACATGTGACAAGTGACTAAATTAAATTAACTGGCACCATAGTTGTTTTTGCTTAAACTTAGTCAAGAAATCACTGTAATCAGGGCTCTGAGCCTGCCTTTAATGGAGCTATTTTCTCTGGACAGAGACGGAAGATATGATTTTCCCCGTTTATCCTCTGCTAATATTTATCTTTTTTCTTTCTGCTCTCTGTTTTCAGTTGTTCTTCTAAGAAAGCCAAGTCTCATCTTTACAGTTTCTTACCAATTTTAAAATGGCTTCCCCGTTACCCAGTGAGGGAATATTTATTAGGAGACATTATCTCAGGTATAAGCACAGGGGTTATGCAGCTTCCTCAAGGTGAGTATTTCTTGGGATTGTATTTCTTCTTTGCTTTTTCCATGTATGCTTTTATGATAGTGCTTGGCTTCCTGAACAGGTGCCCATGAAAATAGGCTGTGCATTTCAGACGTGTGCATGAAGGACAGTGCAGCATTCTGCAAACCAGCCCATAGTGATGATTCCCTTGAAACTGCAAGTCAGTAGTATGCAGCAAACTCTGGAAGAAGCTTGCTGCTCTGACCAATGGCCACAATTCTCATTGACAGAACAACTTTTCATGGTTTAAATGCATGTTTAAACCTTCACTGAATGCAACCAAATGTTTTCTGATCTCTTCATCGTGAACGTTGCGGAGCATACCAGTGTCTAATACTAGACATAATCCCTCAGGAAGATGGTATCCTATCAGGGAAGCAACCAAACTAAATTCAACCATAAAAGAAACCGGAGACCGGTCACACTCTTAAGGGTAGAAGTCACCCGTTTGAGCTGGAACATAGTAGTGGGCAAAGACTTACATAGTGGGAATAAGTCAATATAAAGTAACACTATATATTATGTTACTATAAATTTGTAGTAGCACTGCAGACGTATGTCACTTCTATTAAATTACTTGGAATTGTCACCTGAAGTAGAGCCAGGCTCTGAAGAAGGCGCAGGTTCTGTGGAAAATGAGGAGAAAGCCTTTGTTTTCTGTGCTGTTCGGTTCTTGGTGACAGGCCCCGTGGAACCTTTTATTCAGTCTGGCACTTTACTGTCAGTCGTTTCACAGTTGCTACAGGGTTAGAAAGTCACTGTGCTCTTCCTGCAGTGTCATTACGGTGTGCCCTCACTGCTCTGGGAATGGCAGTTCTGCAACTGCTGCTACAGTCTCGGTAGATTTCCCCAAGAAGTCTTAAAGTGGAGAGAATTCTTGAGTTTGTGCAGTGCCCAGCCCAGTGGCATCGTCATCTTCCTTGGACCTTCTGGATTCTCCTGTAACGCAAAGAGCGAGGCAGTTAAGCATACATGAGCTTGTTGGCTTTTATCATGTTTCCACCTCACACATTCCTCTTCAGGCTGAGGCAGGTCTAAAGAAGGAATTTGAGGGAGGTCTAAAGAAGGAATTAGTAAATCTGAGAAACCTAAGTTTTAATAGGCATTAAGCCATTAAAGTAATGGAACATCCTAACTTAGCCTGTACAATTGACTGTCTTATTTCTGCAGCTTCCTGGTTTGGGGCTTTTTTCTTTTTTATTTAATTAAGGATCTTTTTTCTTATATGGATACAAGCATCAATTTATCTTAAACTGATAAATTAGTGGTTAACTGGAAGAATTTGTCTGGCAAATCTGTCAGGTGTTCAGGCACAAGCATTACCATTTGTATGCTGAAACACAGTTTATGTGATGACAACTTTACAACCAGATTAGGGTCCTAAAATTTAAGTGATCAGCAGCGACCCTTATACTTGATTTTTCAACTTCCTTTTAAACTAAGCGTGATTCTTTTCTTTGGAGACTGCAGACGTGCCCTTGAACTACACCTGCTCTTTCCTGTTTTGTTATGTTTTTTTTCTGAAATGGATGTGCTAATGGCAAGCATAAGGTCAAAGCAGCCTAGGAATCGTTCCAAGCAGAACTATGGTGACCAGAGAGTTTGAGCAGTGAGCTCTTGTCATGTCAGTTATCTCTTTATTTTCCTGGCACTGACAACTCTTAAAAAAAATGCCAATACAAATAAAAAGGAATGGGAATAAAAGGGTATTCAAATCAGGAGCTCCACATATATCCATGCTCCTGTCTGAAACCACTGGTTTTCGGTTCTAGTCATTTTTACTGATAATTCTGGCACTATATTAAAGGCCAAGTTGTTATGGCACAGGGTGTTCTGCTACTGCTCTTAGCCTGAGGTGGCCCTCATACCAGGGAATATATGTGGGGTGAGTTTCAGAAGTACCTAATGAAAAGCTCCTTGCTGCGGAAGAATAAATTATATCATCAGTCCAATTCTGTTAGGAATATGAACCCTTGGTTACAAGGTCTCAGACGTTTAGAGCATGAACAAGGCCCCATGGCCTGTTAAACCATACAGGGGGTGACCCAGAAGATCCCTTCCTGGTTCTGTCATTTTGTGGTAACCTAAAGCCTCATATCTCAATTTAAAAATAAATTGATAGGAAGAGGTGTTCTAAAATATCACCTAGGTCTCCTTTGTGGGTGAACCATCGCCTCCTTTTTTAAATTTACGCTGGACTGTTGAGCTTTTCAGTCCCAAATGGGACCAGTCCACCTGAGTGTGGTAAGAGCACACAGCTTCCTCATGCATCCTCTGTCAGTTTGCACTCACAAAGTGAACTGGAGAATCAAACCAAGGCAGCATACAGTGTTTTTCTCCCTGGCAGAGGCCCATCTGTTCAGTTCTGATGTATAATTCTCATTAGTGCAAGTCGTAGCAAGCTGGGCTACTGATTCTGCTTGGGACAGTTAAGCGCCATGTCACGTGGTGCACACGGTTTGCTTGTGAGTCGGGTCCCATGATAAGCGTGTGCTCAGTCACGCACAGGAAGAGCACTGGGGGAAGTGTCCCTGCCTGGCTTACCTCCGAGCTTCCTCCCCACGCTGGCCAGCTGTACCTGCACATGGGAGTTGGGGGGGCCACACATTCACTGCGTGAGGCTTGACATGTCTTAAGAAAAAAAAGGACTTCATTCTCGGAGCGCTGGACTGCGTTAGCTCTGTCACGTTACAGATCATAAACAATGCTTCCCTGTTTATTTTACAATTTGGAGCATGTTTTGTGTAAACATAAACCCCTACCTCATCTCACTGATTCTGGGGTGAGGGGAGGGGGCAAGAAAATGCTTTATTCATCATGAATGGCCGTGAAGATCACATGTGAAGGAGGAGGAAAAAAAACCAGACACCTGCTGGGTGGGGGGAAATGTTATAAGCCTTTTTGACAAAGGAAAACAAAAGCAGCAAAGTTTGCAGGCTGTTAAGAAGTTACCAGCCAGCTGGTTACCTACCAACCACTAAGAGAAAAAACTGTGAGCCCCTGCATTAATGAATGAACATGAATGCATCTGTGCTTACATATACACACGTATGTACACCCACGTGCAATGCCTGTAATCATAGACTTCTGGTTTCCTGAATCAAACCACTCAGGTTTGTGAACGCTGCCCTGCAGTATATACATATTTAAGAGCGCTTCCTGCAAGATGTTTTTTAACCTGTGATAAGCCGCCCGCTAGCGTTCATATTAAAATGTTCAGTTTTAGTAGGCTTAAATCGTTTTGCTTCAGATGGTTTCTCTTTCTGCTATTTACCTAATATACATATTTGTGTCTTTTTTCTAGGCTTAGCCTATGCTTTGCTGGCAGCTGTTCCCCCAGTATTTGGCCTATATTCTTCATTTTATCCTGTCTTTCTATATACTTTTTTTGGGACCTCGAAGCACATATCAATAGGTATCTCTCTAAGGATAACTGAAAGTGTATGTGTGTGTTTAATAAAACTGTAAAAAAATAAAATTAGAGATATAGAAAGTGTAGCTGTTTTCCATAAGTTCAATTTAAGTGAATAGGAAAAAAATAAATGTTTCAACAATCAGCAGTATTTCTGTTATGTTGGTTTAGTAGATCTGGAAATGTATGTTGTGAGCTCTTGAGCTCTAATTTTAACTTGTGAACAGCTGTCTATGTGACCAGCATTATTCTTTATTCTGCATAATAGAAACTGAGATAGGAAAAAAGATGGTTTTAGCCACCGTAGAGGTGCGTGTTCGACATTTAAATTGTTGTATTCATGCTGAGTACTGGAGCAAACAGGACTACATCTATACAACATTTAGATAGAAAATTTTGTAACAATTTAATTCCACAGATCAGTGCAAATCTTAGGAAGCCTAGAACTGCTACTAGGAACAAATAAAAAAAAACCGAAAAACCTACTGGAATTTTAACCAATTATTATCCTCTCCTTTTTATTTCAGGTACCTTTGCTGTGATTAGTATGATGGTTGGCGGAGTTGCTGTGAGAATAGTACCTGATGAATTGGCTTCTATGGACTATAATTCTACTAATGTTACAGATTTGCTTGATTCTAGGGATGCTAAGAGGGTACAGGTAGCTGTGACTCTCGCCCTTCTTTCAGGAATTATCCAGGTACATGCTTGCAGTTTGCTGTAAGGGCAAGTTCAGATGCTGCTACCAGACTTGGTGATGCGAGAGGTGCTTGGTCGTGGTGATTCCCCTGTGAACAGATTTGTGCTTCAGCACTGTGCTAGGTAGAATACAGGGTGCTTCATGCCAGCCACATACCAGACCTGGGGATGGATATGCTGGAGGCAGGTGTGGGTCTGGGCATCTCAGCTTGGCTAGGAAATATGAAACCTCCCCCTTCATTCTTCCTATTCCCTGTAAGAAAAACTTCATCTGACGGTGTTCAATCTGTCTATGAATGCATACAAACACGTATGTTTACCCATATCTCATCCTGCATCAGCCAGTGGCATGGAAGATTTAGCGTATGGGTGGTTGATCGCTGAACTGTGGCCTTAAAAAGGCCAAGTTAACAGACCGTAGAACGGTCTCCCTGAGCTAGCTGAGTCGCTGGGGTAAGAAAGGGTGTCCTGTGGTCTGTCTTCTGTACAGTGTTGCTATTCAGGCCACACTGGGAGTCACATTGTTCGTATTTCTTCTCTTCATTAGTTGTGTTTAGGTCTCCTTCGATTTGGATTTGTAGCAATTTATCTAACAGAGCCTCTGGTACGAGGATTTACTACTGCTGCTGCAGTTCATGTCTTTACTTCTCAGTTGAAGTATCTGCTTGGAGTGAAGACTAACCGATACAGTGGACCGCTCTCAGTTGTGTATGTAAGTAATTATGTTCATTAAAAACAAATTCCCCATTGTCCAGTGCTCCCCGATACTTAAGGCTTTTTCTTTAAAAAAAAAATAAAATATTTTAGCCCTAAGCAGAATAATTCCTCAGTATTCAAAAGTGAGTGTGAAATATTTAAGTGTCGCAGGAATATAAGAGGAATATGCATTTTAAAATGCAGCTTTGGTGAGAATTGATAGATCAGCAGAGGGCTGAGATGGGGCAGATTTTAGGATTGTACTAGATGTAACTTTGTTTCATGAGCAGATGCCTATTGAAGCGAATCTCTTGTGTATTTTGGGAGAAGTGGTGTACTATTAAAGAAGCTATCCTCCAAAATAAATATTTTACCCTATAAACCTGACATGTTTTGCAAAACTAGGAAACGTTATTCTCAGAACCTTGGTATTTGGGTTTTTGGGGGAGGGTTGTTTTTTGTTTTGTTTTTTTTAATTTCACACACAGTTCCTGATGGATGTGTTTTATGTTTCCTGTTTGTAAGCTGTGTTGTAGTGTGTGCTGCGTCATCAGAAATATATCTGTTCTTTGGAGTAGTGGGAAACAGACTGTTTTGAAAGAAAGGCGTTCCGTGTAAAAAAATTGCTTTTTATGGAAGATCCTGAACATTAACACTAATCATTTGGAGCATATGGTGATCCAGTATTTGACATAGCTCATAGCGTAACCTCCAACTCACTTTCTGTCTAATACATAATGATAAAAGAGAGAGCTCATGCACTGAAAAGCTGTGATTTGGTCAGTATAACTTAAGTAAAACTAAAAGCTCTTGTTCACTTAAATTTAAAATTGGCAATTGGGCTCTGAAAAAGGTCCTAGCAATCTAGGAAGCCCCAAGTTGTTTTCACAGAATCAATGCTCTGTTCATACAGGCAAGAAATCCTGAGGGGAGGAATAGGGAGGACCTCAGATATCTGTGAAAACCCAAGTTTATGAGTAGGTGGATGGCTCAGAAGTAAAGAAGCTTCAGTATTTCAAAGACAGTGATGGAGTCTATAGGAAGACCTTGTGGGAGTCTTTCTTGTATATTTCTGCAGAAAAAACAAATCTTTCAAAAACAGGGCTGCACTGGTTATTAATTCCTAAATTTGCTGTTTAGTTAACCAAAAATACTAACTGCCACACAAATGGAAGGTATATATTCAAGGGGTAGTGCCAGAACTTTGATAATAGTTGCCGTAGTTTACCTTGTCTAAAGAAGGGTATGAACATCTTCTTTCAAAAACTTCTGTAGAGGCCATTTTTTTCATTTTTTAAAATGCAGGAAAAGGAGGAGAAGGAGTTGCTGGAGGAATTGTTTACCTTCTGGCAAGCTGGGTGTTCCAGCAAATTTCCTTTCCTAACGCCCTTTTTAATGGGATTTTTCAACTAAAAGTTATTTGGGATATTGGCCAGTTCAGCGGTGTTGCAAGATCGTTGTTACTTAGTCATATTGCTGTGGTAACCTCACTGGTTGTATCAGCAGTTTTATTGTTTTAGAACGATTTATGCAGCTCTAAAGAGATGTGATTTGCCAAAGAATATTTGAAGGTATTAGAAGAGGTTGGCATTTATTGCTTCAAGGCAGCGGCAGCCAGTAGGAAATATGTGTGAAAAGGTTGAGGATAAAAGATGTGGTTTAGTTTAGACTTTTTTCAACACGATGAAGAATCTTCTCCACGATTTTGTCACACTTTGGGAAGACTGATGTTATAAATGACTATAAGGGCATCTCTCTCGCTGAGATGCTCCAAACTTTGTGTTTTATGGGGACAGTGGGGTTTTTGGTGAGGCACTGATTCACTATAGTGGTAAGTGCAGAATAAACACTCAGCTAAACGGCAGTGTATAGTTTGCTCTTTTGTAACAAATAGCTAGGAAAGAGGTTTTAAGAAAATAAATTCATTTGATCTTCATGAATGAATAATTATGGTACTTCTGTTGTGTTGCAGAGCATAGCTGCTGTGCTTTCGAAAATCACAACAACCAATATTGCTTCATTGATTGTTGGATTAACATGCATTGTTATGTTGTTGATTGGCAAGGAAATCAATCTCCGGTTTAAGAAGAAGCTTCCGGTTCCTATTCCTATGGAGATCATTGTAGTAAGTCAGCTGTGAAGGCCTGTTTTCTGCATGTGCCTTCTGTTTACGATTCTTTGTTTTTTGAGAAGTCATGTTAGGAGGAAGTCACACAAAATGCAGTGGTGAATGTATTCCTGACATGAAGTTCTGTAGTTGAATTACGCAGCTAGCTTTTCTAAAGCTGTAGAAATGGTATCATTTTCTGTTAAGTTTGATTGGGCTTCAGAATAACTTCTCTTGGACACAGTCCCCTATGGCAATGGATAGGGAGACATTTGTCAAAAAAAACCCTACTGTATCCTGGAATTTGGGCACCTGAATGAGTCTCTAGAAAACAGTCCTCTGAGCAGCATTCCCCACTTGGAGTCCTCAGAATCCCTCTCCTGAAGGAAGATACTTATGGATGCCTCTGTTTCAGAGATTCTATAGGGCTTGAATTTCTTTTTAAAATGCAATGGTGGAAAGAGGAGGAGGAACTGGTACAAGTTATTATTCTCTTTACCTTCCTTTCTCTGTTTCTGAGACTCATTCATCCATATGTTTTAGTGTAGTCATTCAAAACAGAATCAGTGCTGCAGTCAGTTGTCAGAATGTCTTAATACACACAAAACCCATGTGTCAAATAACGTATTCACCTTTAAAAATACTTGGATTTAAAAACATATTCTTCGATATCTAGAGTTCTCAAACAGTCTGCACAAAATCAGCTGAGGAAGAGAATAACTGAAGGCATTCATTCTACAGGCTAGGTAGAAGGAACAGAGAAAGGAGCGCTATTGAGAGATGATGGTGATGATGTGCTAGAGTATTGTTTGACAGTAAGGCAGTAAGTAGTAAGAGATTTCCTTAGGCCTGTAACTATCACTGCTGCTGAATCAGTTGTGTTTACTGATGATGTCTAGGTTATACATGTGAAAATGTGGCAGTGGCTTGTCATTGCATTTTATTTCCTTTAGAATATTACCCTGTGTGCAGTAGTCTAGCTGGACTTGACTCAGGCAAGGGGATTTGAGTGATTCAGATGACACCATACCATGTTCCACTTAACTGTTTGCAAAAGAACTTCATGAAAGCAGTGGGGGTTGAAGGGGATGGAGAGATCTTGGAACTTCCTACTTTTTCTCTATTTCTCTACCTCCCTGCAAAGTCTTAAAAAGTTGATTGACAAATAAATTCAAACCCATATATGTATTATCGCTAATCAGGATTTATTACTATCATTATATATAATTTTTTATTGTTATTATATATTATTGTTATTATTCCTCCAGATGGCTTTGGCTCTTTCTAACTGATGTTTACAAATGTGTGTGTGGGTTTTCAGGTAATTATTGGCACAGGAGTTTCAGCTGGAATGAATCTGACTCAGTCATATGGAGTGGACATTGTTGGGAATATTCCTCAAGGGTAGGAGTGATATACTCTTATTCAAGCTATAACTTTTCCGTATGTCATGTAGCTTTTATTATATTCATTTGTAACCATTTCATCTTCAAGGTTACGTGCACCAGCAGTTCCTGAGATTCAGCTCATTCCAGCAATATTTGTGGATGCAGTAGCAATAGCAGTAGTTGGATTTTCAATGGCTGTGTCAATGGCCAAGATCTTTGCACTTAAACATGGTTACACCGTTGATGGGAATCAGGTAAAAATATTTGGGTTGTTTTATTTAAAATTCTCAGTGCCACCTTTGTTTCATTGTTAAATTAGGATGGGATTTTAGACAAAGTTGAGCTTTTATTTTATTGTGGAGTCAGGTCAGGTTTTTGACAGCCTGAACATTTAAATATGAGGAACTATTTTAAATTCTTCCGTCCAATTTCTGGCTGTCCAGTTTCATTTCTAGCTTTCTGGTTTGAGACGCTTGCTTCTGTTAAAGTTGGAAATGTGCATGAATAGTAATTTTGGGGACTGCTGTTTCTTAGCCTGCCTTCAGTGTAGTTGTGCATTGATCTCTGGTCCTTGGTACTTCATCTCTACTTTTTGTAATAAAGCAAAGCAAAGCATAGGGTTCATATATGACAAATACAGTGTTTTGTGTACCACAGAACTGCTATCTGTGTTTTAGAAATTCAAGTGATATCTTACTGATGTGTGAGATCTCCACTTGTCCGTCAAAATGCCGTTACTTTTTATTTCCACACATTGCGAATAGGCAGCTCCTCATTCTCTTGGGCAATAATTGGCCCTGTTCATAATTTCGTTAGGATTATGATCTCCTGATTGAACTGTTCCCCCTTTTTAAAGTGGCTGCCTCCCTCTGACCAAAAATAGAATGTAAATAACTTTTACCTATAGAGTTTTGCATCTGGTCAGATGAATCTCATCCTTCATATCTTTGTTTTCTCTTACCCAAAGAGAACAGGGGACAGATCCACAGCTAGCATTAATGGACGCAGCTCTATTTACTTTAGCTAAAGTAATCATCACTGACTGCAGTTAAGTATCTAGTTAGTTTTCTTCAGGAAGTGCCAGATGCTGCTTCACAGGATGTAATGCCTGCTGAGTGTTTAAATGGATCAAAAAGGGATAGAACAAACTCAGAAAGGAAAACCTATGGAGAGCTATTAAATACCTACAACTCAAATGCCTCTAGTTACAAATAGCAAGGCACAAAGTGTTCTGGGGAGAGACCATTACAAGTGTATAATTTCTTAAGCGTCCACCCTTGGCCATTGTCAGAAAAACAATATTGGGGTAGATGGAGGTCTGGCCTGGCTCACGATAGTGTTTTTCATGTGGGATCTCCCTGATGAAGCAGCGTACACATATTGGCTTTGTTTCAATGGATCACTCACCCAATGAAACACATCCAAGGATGCTGTTGGCTTTAGTAGTACTAAATAGATAGTATAGGGTAGGAAGTGGAGAACAGTCTTTGTGTAAGAAACCATTTTCCATGTAATTTCAGTCTTAGAATTCAAGCGAACTGTGAGCTGAAGAAATCCTTGAAACAAGCAATTCTGTCATTCATTTTAGCTTTTAATCTGACTTTGCAGTGTAACATTTAAAGATGGGAAATGTCTCCAACACTTAATCAGAGACTTTATTTAATAGTTGATTTTAGCATGCATCAACTTGTGCATGTTTGAGAACCCCAAGTACAAGCTGCGGTAAACTTGCTAGAAAGCAATGAATCTGAGAGGTGGTTCTCACTATGCGTGGATAGCTCCATCTTCATACAGCTGTTAGGTGTAACTGCCTCTTCTTTTGCTCTATGATTTGACGCAGGAACTTATTGCCTTGGGAATATGCAACTCTGTGGGGTCTTTTTTCCAAAGCTTTTCAGTCACTTGCTCAATGTCTCGGAGTCTTGTTCAGGAAAGCACCGGTGGGAAAACTCAGGTATGTAAATTCAAATTTTGAGCCAAACAGTGTCTGCTGTATGCAGCTCGGGAGCTAAAGCCTGTAGCTTCACTAGATTGACAGCCTTGCCTGGCTGAGGCTGAAAAGAGTAACTAGTTTCCCCGCATTTCAAATCCAGGTTGGGCTACAGTAGAAGGCTGCGTGACAGTGAAAGCACACAAATTGAGGGGGAGGTATCAAAAGCCACTTGAACAGACAGCCTTGTGGAAAGTACAGTTGGGGTTAGCTAATCGGTACTGCCCTTTGGGGATACTGCCTACTACAGAGACATCATTTCTTGCCTCTTGTTCAGATTGCAGGTATGCTCTCTTCAATCATGGTTCTGTTGGTAATTGTGGCTATTGGCTACCTGTTTGAACCACTTCCGCAGGTAAGGGAACTTTGCCTACTAGGCACTGCATGTCAGTGAACAGAAACCAGCTACTATTGATTAAAATAGAGATTGCAGGGTGATTACTAAGTAAACGCAGTAGGCCTTGATCCAGAAACCTTTAAATTATGTTTACATATTTGCTGTAAGTTAGGGTAGAAGTTAATAAATATTTTGAAGGATCCACAGTGTTTTTTGTTGTTTTTAATATTGGCCATTCTGGATTCTGTTTCTGGAATGTAAAAGTGATCTCTCTAAATAATTCTTTGTTTGCAGCATAGAAATTCTGGGAAGAGGTTAAAAAGTTAAAGCAATAGATCAGCTGGGAAAGGGGTTGGGGCTAGATGATAGCGTAATGAGTTCTTCTCGCTTTTGCCATTTACTTATATTTGTATAAAAATGTGTTTACATGAATAAACATATTCTGATTAAAAAAAAAAAAAAGCTTGGTTCTGGTGACATGTACATGGGATGATATGCAATTCCTGTTTTTTCGATAGGCAATGTATCTTAGGTTCTGCCTACAGGACTGTTGCATAAACCATTGCAGTGTATTGTATAGAAACTTGAATTTGAGATTATAGTCTAGCTGCTGCAGGCACTACAGGCAGTGTAATTGGAGCAGCATGGAGCTCAGGAGTATGTGATTTCTCTTAGCAGGAAAGAGGGTAAATCAAACTGTACTGACTCTGGCTTGCCATTTCTGTGGCTGCAGTAAAAGCATGTCTCTACGGAACTACTTGAAAAGTTGTTATTTAAATAGAACATGTGTTTAGTAGACTGCCATCAATTGTACAAAGCACAGAATATGGATATGTTGGTCCTGAGAAGTTCTTACTAGGCAGTGGTTTCATTTTGCTTCTGAAAATAACATTTGTGCAATATTCCTAGACTGTGCTAGCTGCAATTGTAATGGTGAACCTGAAAGGAATGTTTAAACAGTTTGGAGATGTCGCACACTTCTGGAGAACCAGTAGGATTGAACTGGTGAGTAGTGCACAGCTCAGTGCATATATCTTACTATAATAATTTTTTTTCCCTTTCGCTTCTCCCCCAAAACAAAGTAGAAACTTATCAAGCAGATAAAGATTGGCTGTTGCCTTGCAGATGGACATAAAATGTGGAATTTTAAGTACCCCAGAAGAGTGATCTGTTGCAGACAAGACTGTTTTAGGTGTTGTATAACAAACTGACCTTTAACTCAGTTCAGAAGTAGTTTGGTTGCATAGAAGTAAAGCTTTTCCTGTGGTGTTGATACTAGTATTGCTGCAGTGCTGTTACAGGAAGTGCACTGAAGGCTGTGGGAATGTCTGAGAAGAATTTAAAATACAAAGTAACAAGCAAAAGTACTTGAGGGTGTTTGTAATCTTTTAAGAGAAAACAAAAACATAGCTGGAGTAGGCCAGAACTAAAAGCGCGCATCGCAGGGAACATTTTGGTAGCAGTTCCTCCTGCGTTAACTGGCAGCAGGTTAGGTTGTTAACTGACCCAAAGCATGAAGACTTGGGAGTTGCAACAGCAGCTATTGAGGATACCATGCTTGCTTCTGGGGGAACCTGTAAATGAGACAGAGATCACAAAGTACTTACAGGTAGTCTTTGACCCCCTGGAGTAGGTACACAGCCTGAAGAGTAGGTTGCAGCCACCTGGCCTACATAAGATGATTTCTGAGATTCCTGACAACCAGAGAACTACATCCTTGAGATAATCAGAAGCAAATAGTCTGCTCATAAGTTTGGCCTGAGCTGCTCAGTGAGACCTGAATCATAATCCCGCTGGCTCAGAAGTGCAACTGAAACGTGACACACAGACCTTTCTGCGCCTGAAGCATCAGGTTCTCCCTTTTTCAATAACAAGTTCCTCTGACTTTTTCCTAACTCCCTTCCCGTGCAATGATTTGTCTCTTCCAGGGAGACCAAGATGGTCGTTCTGGAGTTCTTATGGCCATCCTTCTCTTTGAGTATTTTTGTAGTAGGGGATGCATAGTGCACACTGCAAAATATCAGTCCTTGCAACATGGCCGGTCTTACTGCTCTGTAAAAGATGGATGTGAGAGCTACTTGCAGGCCCTGATTTTTTTTTTTTTAATTCTACGTTATTGCAAGTCTGGTGGTAACATAGTATGCTTTGAAGAAGAGGACTTAAGGTATTAATTAATAGGTGACAGTTAATTTGTCAGATGGTATGCTAGTTTGTCTTGAGCTTTTATGCCCTACTCAGAGGTTAAGGCAATTATAGTGCACTGTCAGGAACAGGAATTACACTATGCCCTAGAAGTGATTACATATGTTCAAGTTGAATCATGCTATTGTTTTTGTTGTTAACAGAAAAGGATTCATAATAATGATAGTAATTCAGAGCTTCTCTCTCTCTCTCTCTCTCTCTCTCTCTCTCCCTCCCCCCCGTTTCAGGCCATCTGGGTGGTAGCTTTTGTTGCTTCTCTTTTCCTGGGACTAGACTACGGTTTGCTTACTGCAGTAACGTTTGCAATGATAACCGTTATTTACAGAACACAAAGGTCAGATTTCGTCTTTCTCAAAATTAGTATTTGCCGGTCTTCTCAGTGGTTTTGTTTGTTCAAAGGGTACAAATAACCAGAAGTCCTTTCCACTCACTTCTACTACATGCAGTATAGCATCTGCCTCATCAGGTAGGTCATGCAGGGCATGATGTACAGCTGTGATCCAGAGTTCAAATGTTATTTTTATTAAAACAGAATTTCTAGAGAGGGCATCAAACTTGCAGTCTCAGTAACAAAAAGAATATTTCTGATTTCTGTTACTTTTTTTTCTTTAAAGCTTAGGGTTCAGAACTTCAATCGTGGTGCATGCTGGGTTCAGTAAATGGTTACGTTCTGTGCAGAGTCGTTGGCCTGATCGAGTACAAGTTGTCATATGCTGTAAATAATTAAAGGTTTAGGTATTATTTAAGAAAGTTTTAGTCTGTCAGAAAAGTCTCCCTGTCCTTCTAGTTTTTCACATCACTTCTCCTCTGCCCCCATTCAAAGTGACAAACCTTTTCTTGTGAATCTTTCCAGGTCTAGAGTGGAATGTTTTCTTTATGGGTAAAAGAGGCCTCAGGAAGAGGTGTGTGTGGGCAGGTCTTCACCTGTGACGTGAGGTTTCTAGGCTCAAGGCCTTGAGGATCTAGGCAGACAATGTATAAAGTATTGGTTTCTGTCTGCGTTTAAATGAAACTAAATTCTGAGATTTCAACTCTGCATAAATAAAAGTGTTGTTATGCCAGCCCTGCATGATTTTGTCCCTTCAAACAGAGTAGTATTAGTACTTCACTGTAACACTGCTTGTGAGTTGGGAATGCTTATCTTCTCAGGCACATTTGTCCTGGGAGCAGAATGGTTTTTAGAAATTGCAGCGTGTTTTTTGCTGGGATGAGCTGCCGTATTTACAAGATAGTCAATGGAGTTGCACCAGTTTACGCCAAAGAGAATTTCCCCTGTAACTTTGGATGCTTTGGCTTATGCTTTTCAGAAAATGACAACATTACAGTGCTAATTTTCTCAAGCGTTTTCATACTGACAGCAGCAAACTTGTGTAGTCCCCAGTGGCCCCTTTGTCATGTTCCCCCCATAAACTGCCCTGCTGCATTCAGCCATGTTTAGATAAGCCTGTACCAGCCAGACACTGCAAAATGACCATTTGAAATAAGTTTCACTATATAGCAAGCTCTTACTTCTTCAGCTTGGAAATTACAATACTGAAACATACTTGCTTCCATTTCTCTCCAGCCCTCAGTACCGAATCCTTGGTCCGATTCCTGACACTGACATTTACTGTGATGTGGAAGAGTATGAGGAGGTAGGAGCGCGTTTCTCCTGCATTTAACAGTTTTATGTATTTGATCAAAGTAAGATTACTGGGGTTATTTGCTGCTTAACCCTATCATACTGTGCATTTAGTGCTATCTGCCTGGCCTTCACCTGTGCTGCACTTACACTTTGGGGAAGAAGATCAACTGAATGTTAGCATTTTGAGCACAGTACTTCCCACTACTAGTTTTTGTGCTACGTATGCATTCATCCAGGTTCAATGAGTTACATTGTACTAGCTAGTACAAGATTACAAGGTTTTGAGGGATACTGCTGCTAAAACTGCTGTGCCAGCACACAGGCCAGCTTCGTTAATTTCCCTGTAGCTGTATTGCATAAAATCCGTGGAACCCAAGGAGCCAAGCTGATGTATTCTTTAAAATTGCCCGAGCTAGTCAAAACAGCATCTCCCTGCCTCCTGTCTTCCCCTGCTCGTTGAACAGATATGATTAATGGTACAACTTCCTGTCATGTACTTAACTTCCTACAAATGCCATTTTATTCGACCCAAAGTTGGTGAAAGCAATTGTTTTTGTAAGTATAACGGACATAAACATGCTGTATTTATTCAGAAGCAACAGCTAGGAGGTTTCTGCGCTCTTTGCCCTGTTTTCTCGGAGAAGCTGCTCGAAAAGCTGCCCCCTTTGCTTAGGAACCAGTCCTAAATGTGTGTGAAAAGATGATGCTATAATCCAAAAAACATTCTCTCTCACAGAGTTCTGCTTTGAATATGATGTAAAGCAAAAGTATAAGTGGATATGTATATAGCCACAGGCAAAGGAGAGGGGTCTTTGCTTTTGCTATGGTGAATAGGATTACCATTTCTTCCTCCTGTATAAAGATGGCATTAGCCACATATGGCAGGCTACGTCTCTACTGCAGCCCAGGTCATTTTCATTTAAAATGTCAGAGTCCAAATGCCTGTTCAGAGGTTACTTCATTTAAAGTAAAGGGAAGAAGTGACATTAATAAGACCTATGTAAAGGCCTATTTAAAAAGCTAAGATTCTTAAGGGTTGAAACTAAAGGGTCATTTTTGGCATTTTTGGTAGCTTGAGAACTCTCGGAAATATGTATTTACATGCATACATAGGAAGAGAGAGAGCTCGTTAATCCTGTAGGAAGAAAGGAAGCTCAGAGGAAGCATTTCTAGATCTGCATGATTTCTTCATATTAATACCAGCTGCAGATAACAACATCAGAGACCTGCAAACGTTTTTTTTTTTTCATGATTGTACATTTCTTTACTACAAAGAGAAGGAGAAATGTTACATGACATTGCTTGTGCGCAATATTTTGATTACCTTTCTGGGAAGGTGGAAGCTCTGATCGTCGTCTTAGCTTTGCTCACAACAGTGCTGGCCTTCTTTGATGCATGCTGATAGCCGTTCAGGCTAGGCTGTTGGGCTTCGTACTTTTGGGTATCCCCAAGTCCTGTGACCAAGTAGGTGGCAGAGATGTAAATATTTGGGTTTTTTCTAGAATGGGCAGTACTTAAGTGTGCACGCTCTAATGTTCTTTTCCTTAGGTTAAAGAATATCCTGGAATAAAAATATTTCAAGCTAATACGTCACTTTATTTTGCCAATAGTGAGTCATATATGACTGCACTGAAGAAAAAGGTGAGTAAAGCAAATTGTTTTATGTCCTGTGTCTGGAAAACTGGAACTGGCCTCTGAAACGTGCTCAAGGCTCAGCCTTCTGTGCATTATCTTTCAGCCCCTTCAGCCTAGCCCCTAGTACAGTGTTTCGCAGCCTGTGCCCTGTGGTAATTGGTAAGACATTAGAAGGTGACCCTCTAGCCAACTGCAAATCAGCTTAGCAAGCAACAGAACAGTGGGCAGGAATGTATAATAATACTAAACTATACTAATACTAACTTCTTGTGAGTGAAAAGTCTGGTGATAGGCACGGCACAAGCTGTTCCAACACATTTTTTCAGAAAGAAATAAGTAATTGTTGGACTGAAAACAAAACTCTAGGAGTAAACGCTTCCTTCTCAGAGAACAAACATTACTGGAGTATAAGACCGTGGAGTACTGTGGGCGTTTGATATCGCTCATGAGCAACAAATTACCTGCATATAGAGGCTGCTTCACCTTCTATCAAAACTCAACCTGTCCTTGATGGGGAGGGAAGGACAACAGAGCTAGCTAGGGACAGAACGGCCTCCCAGAACTGAGAGCTATTGACCCAGTAGCGATTGCACCCTTACTAATTCTGAAAAATTTTTCTGTAGCTCCCCTGATGAGTCTTACACAAAACAGGTGGGTGGTATTTACCTTCACAAAGCAAGAGGTATTGACAATTTGTGTCCAAAACCACTTCTCTCCCCTTTGCTCTCTGCACTCAAATCAGCACTCTGTTGAAACATGACACCCTCTGATTTCAAGAATGTGATGCATCTCTCCTTCATCTTGTTAACACAATGCTTGCAAAGATTATTCCTTCTTACTTTATACTTCCCTCACCCCCACCAAGAGAAGCTGGATAATGCAGGCTTGTGTTTTAAATTTATGACAGTGATCAGTTTAGTGGTAATTGATGCCGCAGTGTCATCCGAACAAACTGAATCTCATCTGATTGTGCTTTTCTTTTCATGGCAGACTGGAGTGGACCCTTGTGTTATCTTAGCAGCAAGGAAAAAAGCCCAGAAAAGGCATGCCAGGGCAATAAAGAAAGCAAACGAACTCAAAAAGAAAGCTGTCTTGAAGCTAGTGAATTCTTCGGTAAATATTTACCTCTGTTTTATCACCTAACACACTTTCTTGTGTTAGCATTCTTGTTTAGGCAAGGTAAAGAGCGCTACTTGGATAGGAAGGCTTAGGAAGCATACTTTGTGCAGTGTGAACAGGCACGCTTAGAGCGCATACGTTGTGTGGTGTGAACTGGCTACTGAGATTAACGTTAAAATCAGAGGCTTAACTGCAAGGGGCTGGATTAGATAATTGTGTTGAACCGTGATTATATTCAGGCACCACATTGGGGAACAGAGCCTCCCAGACTATCGTACTGTCTCCAGCAGTGGTGTCAGCAGAAGGTAGAGGGCTCCTACCTCTGCCCCCCAGCAAGCACATTGGGAATAATCATGCAGCAATACGATAAAATAAAATTACCTCAAATTAGCAGCTCTTGTAATAAAAAGTGCTGATCCTGGCATGGCTAAGTGAGGTAGGTGCATTGAGAAGGGCTACTTGAAACACACTGTGCTTTTGTGCATATTTAAAATTTGTCCCCACTGCAAGAACTGGTGTGTGCTTACTGCCTTGGAAAACCAACCAAATGCCTGAGTTAGGAGACTGAGATTGCTAGCTCCTTCTTTTAAATAGATAGACCTCAACAGGATGAGCAGGGGTGAGGCAAGGAAATGGAATAAAAGTCTATAAACAGGTGTCAATTTCTGAGGGAAATGGGTAATTCGCCCTGAGATAACAGTTTAAAGCTGCTGTAGGAAGGATGGGCATAAGAGGCTAAATTTTCATATAGGTAAGATACGGAAGCACTTATGCATATAAAGTCAGTTTCTGTAATGGTTTAAAGTTCTTCACCTTTTAGAGGCTGAAGGAACAGATGTGTATCGGGAGGAAGGGGATCAATGCTGAAAAAGTACTGGCTGTGTTTGTCGTCTTTAACAGACTAATGATGTGGAAGCAAGTGTAAAACATGAGATAGCAAATGATGAGTTACCTGTAAATGGAAAATTCACATCTGTAGAGGACAGCGTACAAGACAGGTCTCCTGATGAACTTGAATACTTCGTGGAGCCAAAAACAAATGTCCACTCTTTAATTCTGGATTTTACTCCAGTGAACTTTGTGGACTCAGTTGGAGCAAAAACATTAAAATCGGTAAGTAGTCTTTTTTTCTCCCACGAAACAGCAAATCTGTAAGTGAGGTACATGGGATATAAAGGACAACTGAAGAATAACCCAGCGTCTCACATAATTAGCTTTAATTCTGCATCTTCGAAAGCTTCAGCTAAATATTGAGGAAAGTGGAACTTGCTGCTCTCACAAGTAACTAGCTTACGCCTTCCAGAACTATAATGTGTACAATGATATGCCTCATCTGTACAATGATTTATCCTCAATTTTAACTCCATTGCAGATTATAAAAGAATACAGAGAAGTTGGTGTCTGTGTCTATATTGCCGGCTGTAGCGGTGAGTTGAGATTTTTCTGTGAGCTTTGTGGGAGAGACTAGTGTTTTATCTCTTCCTTCCCTGGCCCTGCATTTTCTACTGCCAGGTGCTTCAGTAGTATCAGTGCTTGTTTCACATAAAATGGACTTCAGGAAAAGCAAACCCGTGTTTAATAGAGCCTTCACTTTAGTGAGAGTAAAGCACTGATACAATGCGTTGCTGTGAGAACTAGAGGTGCTCCCATTTATTTCAGTTGACAGATTAGCTTAGTCCTAGCTTAGTCCTTTGAAATTGTTATAAAAATGTCATGAGGAGACAACCCTGCAATATTCCTAGTTTTTGGCATTCAGCATTGTACCAACTTGGGACAAGAGTAGGCTTCTATATTATGGTTGGATAAGAGAACTACCTTTTCTGAATGTAAGTATCATGTGATTCCCTGCATATTTTAAATATTTTGAGTAATGACAACTTAATTTGCATCTTTTGTCTCAACTTGTTCCTTGTGAGTGGAACAAAAACTGAAGCGAGGAAAACAAATCTGCCTCCTGAGATATCTTTGTCTTCTGTCTTTGTGCTTTGGGTTATGCACTGATGCCACGTTTTTGTTTTGCAGGCCCTGTTATGAGTGAGCTGACAAGACTGAATTTTTTTGAAAACACTATAACAAGAGATTTGTTGTTTCACAGCATTCATGATGCTGTCCTTGCTTGCCGTGTGAAAGAAGCCTCTGCTTCACAGACTGCCTT